ATGGGGTTCAAACTCACATCCCCAAGACCAAGAGTTGTATGCTTTTCCCACTGAGCCAACCAGGTCTCTTTGTGTAGATCTGAGCTTCTGACCTATATCATTTAACTTCTCTCTAAAGAACTTCCCTTAATATTTCTTGCAAAGCAAGTCTCCAGGCAACAAATTGCCTCAAAAAAAATTTTTTTTTTCTTTTTCACTTTTGAAGATAATTTCACAAAAGGTACAGAATTCTAGGCTGGCAGGCTTTTTCTCTTGATACTTTGAGTATTTCACTCTACCTTTGTTACTTACGTGGTTTCTGAGGGGAAATTTGATATAATTCTCATCTTTGCTCCTCTGCAGGTAAGTTGTATTTTTTCCTTTGATTTCTTTCAAAATTTTTTCTTTACGTTTGATTTTCTTTCTTTCTTTCTTTCTTTCTTTCTTTTTTTAAGATTTTATTTATTTATTTGATACACAGAGAAATCACAAGTAGGCAGAGAGGCAGGCAGAGATAGAGGGGGAAGCAGGCTCTCTGCAGAGCAGAGAGCCCGATGCGGAACTCGATCCCAGGACCCTAAGCTGAAGGCAGAGGCTTAACCCACTGAGCCACCCAGGTGCCCTACATTTGATTTTCTGACATTTAAATATGACATGCCTCCATGTAGTTTTGTGGGTTTTTTTAAACAGTTTTCCTGCTTAGTATTATCTTGAGTTTTCTGGATCCATGGTTTGGTGTCTGACATTAGCTAATCAATTAATGACTAATTCTTAGTCATTATTGCTTCAAATATTACCGCTGTTCCTTTCTCTTTCTTCTCATTCTGGCTTCCCATGACATGCTATACCTTTTAGAGTTGTCCCGCAGTTATTGGATATTCTGTTGTGTTATTTTTCACCTTTTCTCCTGTTTGCTTTTCAGTTTTGGAAGTTTCCATTAAAACTTATACTATCTTTACATTCAGAGATTCTTTACTCAGACTTGTCCAGTCCACTAATGAGCCCACCAAAGGCATTCTTCCTTTCTTTTCCAGTGTTTTTGATCTCAAGAATTTTTTTTTATTTTTCTCTTTGACTTTCCATCTCTATGTTTATACTATCAGAGAAAAATTGCCAGTATTTAATGTGACAACCTGGGATGACTTTTGGAGCTAAAACTCATAAAAGTCTAGAGTCCCCCATGAATGGAGATTTTAATTCTCAGAGTTGTCCACACTGAGCCTCTAGCAATTCATCAATTACAGGTTTTCTTTACTGGTTCCCGTAGAGGTAACAGTCCTGGTAAGTTGTGATTCTCTGTCTGTCTTCCTAATTTGGGGGACATTGGTTTACCCTGTGGCCTCATTTCTCTAATACATCTTAAAATAATTACTGATATTTCAGTTTGTTCGGGTTTTTACTTACTGTTAAACAAGTGGCAACTTGTGGCAACTTCTGAGCTCCTTAAATGCTGGACTGGAAAACAGAAGAACTCACATAGATTTTCTCTTGTATTTTCTTCTATGAGCTTTCATCTATAAGTTTTATGTTTTTCATTTAGATCCTTTCATTCATTGAGTTAATTTATGTATCAGATTTGACATAGGGATCAAGATAGATTTTATTTTCCTTTTTGCATAAGGCTATCCAGTTATTCCAGCACCATTTATAGAGCAGATTATCTTTTCTTCATTGAATTGCTTTTGAATTTTTATCAGAATGTGTGGGCCTATTGTTGGACTCTATTCCATTGTTCTGTCTTTTCATTTTCTTATATGACGCTGAATTAATTACAGTAGCTTTGTAGTAAATGTGGAAATTAAATCATGACCTCCTACTTTGTTTTTTGGTTTGATTCTTTTATTTCCTTTGCTTCTTCATATAAATTTTGGAATGACTCTGTCAATTTCTATAAAAAGAAAAACCACATTAGGATTTTGTTGGCGGGGTGGTGTGTCTCGGTGGTACAGTCGGTTAAGTGTCTGACTCTTGGTTTTCACTCAGGTCATGATCTCAGGATAGTGAGATTTGAGTCCTCGTCATGTTCTGTGCCCAGTGCACAGTTTGCTTAGGACTCTCTCTCCCTTGGCACTGCCACCACCTGCTTGCTCTCTCTTTTCTCTCAAATAAATAAATAAATAAATCTTTTTAAAAAATTTGAGTTTGGAATTGCATTGAATCTATAGACTGATGTAGAGATAATTATAGAACAATTTGGGGAAGCATCTTTAAAATACTGCATTTTTCACGATGTCTGTGTGGCTCAGTCAGTTCAGCGTTTGCCTTCAGCTCGGGTCATGATCCCAGGGTCCTGGGATCGAGTCCTGCATCAGGCTCCCTGCTCAGTAAGGAGCCTGCTTCTCCCTCTGCCTGCTGCTCCCGGCTTGTGCTAACTCTCTCTGACAAATAAATAAATAAAATCTTTTAAATAAATAAATAAATGAAATACTGAGTTTTTCAATTCATTTCATGAACATGGAATATCTCTTGACTTAATTAGTTATCTTTGATTTCCTTCATCGGTGTTTTGTAGTTCTTACATACAGATCTTGCACATTATTTTTTATAATAATTATTATTATTATTATTTTTAGTAATCTACACCCAGGTGGGGCTCAAATTCACAGCCCAGAACTTGCACATTTTTAAAGATTTATACCCAGGTATTTCATTCATATTTGAAGTTGCTATTATAAATTATATTATTGTTATTTATTTATTTTAAAAAATATTTTATTTATTTGAGAGAGAGAGAGCATGAGCAGGGAGAGGGGCAGAGGGGGAAGAAACTCCCTGATGAACAGGGAGCCCAACAGTGGGGCTCGACTGGGAACACTGGGATCATGACCTGAGCCGAAGAAAGACAACTAACTGAGCCTCCCAGGTGCCCCAACTTGTATTATGTTTTAATTGCAGTTTTTAATATTTTTCTAATATATAGAGATATGACTGATTTTTGTATATTGACTTGCATCCTACATCCTTGCTATACTCACTTAGTTCTAGTAGCTCTTTTGTACATTACTTGGAATTTTATACATAATCATAATGTCTGAAAATATATAGTTTATTTTTTCCTTTTTGATCTGATGTTTGTTAATTTCTTTTCCTTTATTTTACTGGCTAGAACCTCCACCAAGATTTTGAATAAGAGTTTTGAATAAGAAGAGCTAATCTTCTTGCCTTGTTCTGATCTTGGGGATGATGGTGGGGGTAAGCATTCAGTCTTTTATGATTAAATATGTCATGATTTTTGTAAATACCCTTTATAAAACTGAAGAAGTTCACTCTATTTCTGGCTTTCTGAGAGGCTTTTTTTTTTTTTTATCATGAATAATTGTTGAGTTTTGTCAGGTTTTTCTCCTGAATATAATGGCTTGGTTATTTGCTTTTTTCCTCCTAATTTGATATTGATATGGTGAATTATACTGGTTAATTTTTGAATGTTGAATTAGCCTTGCAGTCCCTAGATAAACCCTACTTGGTTATAATCTATTATTTTATGGATTGTTTGATTTACTTGTATTTTTTGAGGAATTGGTATTATCTCTTTCATAAATGTTTTGTAGAATTCATCATGAAGTCATCTCAGTCTGTAGATTTTTTTTTGTTGTTGTGGGATTTTTAACTACATAGCCAATTTTCAAAGTAGATACAGGAGTATGCAAGCTATCTATTTCTTTTTAGATAAACTTTCACAGTTTATATATTTCAAAGAATTTGACCATTTCATCTAAGTTATCAAACCTAGGGCATAGAGTTGTTCATTGTATGTACTTACTATTTTAGTTAAATATCTGTAGAGTTTATAGTGATATATTCCTCTTTCATTCCTGATATTTGTAACTTGTTTCTCCTCTTTTTTTCTTGTTCAGTCTAGCTTATCAATTTTTATCAACAACAATTATAAGTACTCCATACGTGTCATATACCTTTTAAAGAGTTTTATTATATTCTATTTGAACATCCAAGACTCTATAAGATATATTCCATTGTTATACGTTTTATAAAACATATTAGGAAACTTGCCTACAGTACTGACAACCAGAATGACAGATCCAGAATTCAAGATCCAAGTCTGTGTGACTCCAAAGCCTTTGCCTTTTTTTTTTTTTTAAGACTTTATTTGTTTGTTCATTTATTTTAGAGACTGCACACGCACAAGTTGGGAGAGGGCCAGAGGGGAAGGGAGAGGGAAAGAATCTCAACCAGACTCTGCACTGAGCCCAGCACAGGGCTCAATCTCATAAACCCAAGGTCATGGACTGAAACCAAGAGTCAGATGCTTAACTGATGGAACCAGCCAGGTGCCCCCAGAGTCTTTGCTTTTGACCACTCTGGTATAAAGGATGAATCAATACCAAAAAAGACATATTAAAGGAGTCATCTTTCTCTGCTGTGACTAGGAGCAAACTTTTCGTTTTTATCATTGGACTCTAATATCTCCTGTTTTCTGTCTTTTGTACCTTCTCTATAAACAGCATATTCTATAGAACCTCTTGTCAGAAGATCTCTGGAGATCTATTTGCTCCTTCTGTTCAGTAAGGGTACCTAGTAAGGAAAGAGAAAATTTGGAGACTTCCGGTTGCTATAAAATACTTAATAACACATCTTATATTTTTAGAACATAGGATCTTCTGAGGCCTTCCAGTGCCTGGATACCAGAAACTGTTTTCCTAATGCCATCCATTTTTTCTTAATGAAGTATAGTTGACATACAATATTATATTCATTTCAGGTATACAACATAGTGATTTGACAATTAGATACATTATAAAATGCTTACGGTGCTCAGTTTAGTTACCATCTGTCACCATACAAAGTTATTACAATATTATTGACTATATTCTCTATGCTGTACTTTATTTACATCCCTATGACTCATTTATAAGTTTGTACCTCTTAATTCCTTTCATTCACTCTTGACAGATTAGAAATAAAAGCATTGACTCTTTTCCATTTAAAATGTAGGTACTTTTCTCTCATAGGTATAAGATATGCTTTGGGAAATAAAAGCTGACATAGCTTGCTTGTTTCCTTAGGTCTGACAGTAACTGCTGTGAAAGACTCAGGAGAATGGAATTTGGAGGCTGGTGCATTAGTACTGGCAGATGCGGGCCTTTGCTGTATCGATGAGTTTAACAGCCTCAAAGAGCATGACAGAACCAGTATCCACGAGGCAATGGAGCAACAAACCATAAGTGTTGCTAAGGCTGGGTAAGAGTTTCTTTTCTTTAAAATCTATGGGAATAATGAGATTAGTTAATATGATCATGGAAAAATGTGAACCTTACTGAACTGCAAGGTATATTTGGTCTTATCAGGGATTATCAGTTACGTTCATCAAGACACAAGTTAGCATCCCCCTGGAGGTGTATGAGGAAGTAAAAATGAGTTGTTGGGACAAAGGACGGCAAAACTAAAGTATAAATATAGGTTGACTTAATTTATGGAGGGGACTTATGAAGAACTTTCAATGTAGGATCCAACTTATTCTCTCATTCAATAATGTATATCTACAGTGGGCATATTACTATGTTAGGAATTTTTTATTTAAACTGAAAATATTTGATTACGCATACCTTGTACCTTACCCTCTGCTAGGTGTGAATTAGTATGAACCTTTTTTGCTATCTGTAAATATGTCATAAGATTATTTTAGAAAATGAAATTAAAAAGCAAAGATATACAAAACATAAGCCTAAGTTGTTCTTCCATTTCCAGGGTGTGGAAAGCTGTAAGAGCATGTCACTCCCATCCTAACAAGAAAAATCTAAATAGCCTGCAAAAATCACAACTTCCCTTGAACATATCAGAGAGCTGATTTACAAGGAAATCAAGGGAACTTAATTCTCAAGTGTGACAGCCCATCTGAGGAGGGATGAGGCACACAAACTGTTCACCTTTGACAGAGATGAGAGGAAGAGGTGGCTACTATAGAAGCAAATAAGAAACAACTAAATTTTTTTAAATTCCTTGATGTCTAAGCATGGGTTAGCATGTTAGTTTTGAATAACTGGGAGCTCCAAATCCAAGGGGAGTTCTCAGTTGCAAGCCATTCTCCACAGGTCTGCAACCCATGGCGTCTTGGCAGAAGGATAGAGGCAAAAAAACCCAAAACCTTTCTACTTCGGGAAGAGGTTAGAGCATCATCCTTCCCTCCCACAGGAGCTAGGCAAAATGGTTCTTCTGGGAGAAGGGTAGAAGTAAAAGCCTTCTTCTCGTGAGGGAAGGGCTGGAAACACTCTTCAGGTTCAGGATCCTAAACCAAGGCAAAACAGAGGTCTGTACCATGGGGACAAGAACAGAACAACTCCTGCCCCAGGACCACCACAGATAGATGGCAGGGTTCTGCTGCCACCAGGTGGAAGGGACAGAAAGGTTTACAGCTTTGTAGCCCATCCCATCCAAAAGCAGGCTCACAGACGCTGCCTCAGAACAGGAGACCAAACACCAACTTGGCCCCCAAATAAGCCTAACACCTAGTAACAAGCAGTCTGACAGTAGGGAAGGCACAGGGATATGGAAAGAGACCCCTCTGGTGAGGTGTGCGGTGACTGCTGAAAGCTGAAGGTAGAGTAGAAACACTGAAAATGGTCTTCCAGCACTACGCTACAACCCCCATCTGAATGCACAAAGTAACAACAGCTCAACAGTGAAAGAATTCAAAGTCTGTGATGTATTGAGGGTAAAGATGACAACAAGGCCAATACCCAGAACAACTCTCATGGCCTTACAGACACTAATGGCCTTACGCTATACACAAGGTGTTATAATATTATTTGAAGGTAAACTGTAAGAAGTTAAAGATGTAAACTCTAGAACAACCACTAAAAAATAAAAGAGGTGTAACTAACCAGTGGTAGAGGTAAAATGGAATCATAAAAAAATAACACAAAAGAATACAGGAAGAGAAGAAAAAGTGAACAAAGAATAGATGGGACAAATAAAATGCAGTTAGCAAGATGGTAGGTAGAAATTCAGCCGTATCAATAATTATATTAATAATCACGTAAACAATTAAAAGGCAGCGATTGTCAGATTGGATAGAAAAGCAAGACTCAACTAAATGCTGCCTTCAAGAAACTGACTTTAAATTCAAATGCATAGGTAACTTAAAAGATGGCAAAAAAATATTCCATGGAAACACCAAAACCTGACCAAGACATTATAAGAAAATGAAACTACAGAATGACATTCCCCGAACATAACACATGAAAATTCCTTTTTTTTTTTAAGTAGGCTCCACACCCAGTGTGAGGCTTGCACTCACAGCCCTGAGATCTAGAGTACATGATGTACCAACTGAGCCAGCCAGGTGTCCCATGACTTGAGAATTCTTAATAATACTTAAGCAAATTAAATCCAGCAGTATACTAAAAAGATTATATGTTACAACCAAGTGGGGATCATCCAGAAATGCAAATTTGATGTAATATTTGAAAATCAATCAATGTAAATTCATAATATTAGTGGAATAAAAAAGAAAACATCTCAATAGATGCAAAAGACATATCAAACAAAATTAAATACCCAATAATAATAAACATTCTCAGCAAATAAGAAGAGAAGTCCATCTGCCTGTTTAAATGTCATCTATGGAAAACTTAAAAGAAACATTTCACACTTTCTGATGAAGTGAAATGTTTTCCACTTAAGATTGGGAGCATGTCAAGGATGTCCAGTCTTAACTTCTGGCCAGTATTGTACTGGAAATTCTAGTCATTTTAATAATGCAAGAAAAAGAAATAAAAGACATTCAGTTTGGAAAGGAAGAAGCTAAAACTATCTATATGACATGATTGTCTCCATAGAAGATCTCAAAACAATCAATGAAATAGGTATTAGAACTAATAAATGAGTTTTAAAAGTCACGGGATGCAAGATGGGTATATAAAAATGTATTATATTTCTGAATGCTACAATGAATAATTAGAAACTGAAGTAAAACATACCATTTATAATAGTATCCACAAATATGAAATGTTTAGGGATAAATCTAGCAAAACACATTCTAGATTTTTCCAATAAAAACTTCAGAACATTGGTGTAAGAAATTAAAGACCTACGTAAGTGGCGATACATACTCTTTCATTCATCAGAAGACAATGTTGTTAAGATATCTGTTTTCCTCAAAGTGATCTATAGAATCTGTACAATTTCAGTTAAAATCCCAGCAAGCTTTTTTGCAGAAATCGGCAATTTTAAATTTTATATGGAAAAGCACAGGAACTAGAATAGCCAAAACAATTTTGAAAAAGAACAAATCTGTAAAATTTAATTTATTTCAGGATTTACCATAAAGCTACAATAATCAAGATAGCATAGCATTGGTATAAAGATAGACATAGATCAGTGGAAGAGAATATGGCTCCAGAAATAGAATCATAGGTATAAAGTTAATTGATTTTTAAGAACAATGCCAAGATAATTCAAAAGAAAAAGGATAGTCATTTTTTAAAAAAATGATGCTAGAACACTTGGATATTTATTTACAAAAAAATGACTTATACATAAATGCTTATTCCAGCTTTATTCATCATCACCCACGACTGAAAATAACCCAAAAATCCATCAGCTGGTGGATGGATAAATATTTTGATAAATTCATACAGTAGAATACTACTAGAAAGATAAAAGAACTATTGATACATGCAAAAACATGGTTGAATCTTCAAAGTGCTATGTGAAGTGAAAGATGCCAGGCACAATAACTACTTAGTTTATGATTCCATTTATATGAAATTCTAGAAAAGGCAGAATTGTAAGAAGAGAAATCAGATCAGTGGTTGCCAAGGATTGGGCATTAGGAGAAGAGATTGACTATAGAGAAGCACCTAAAAAAGTTGGATTTTACTCTACATAAATTATACCACAATAATCCTTAATTTAATGTAAACCCATGTTTTTAATTATTTCTTCCATATATTTTATATATGGATTTATATATATATTTTATATATATGACTTAAAATCATTCTGTGAAATTGCTATTGAAATTTCTAAACACTTACTTTTTTTGTACTTATCTCTTCCTTGATTGGTAACAGTGTATGGATGGGTACAAGTTCATGGCCTACGTTTGACTGCTGCTGGTAGACTTGGAGAGTAAGCTACCACAGAAGGATAGATGAAGGGAATGGAAAGGAACAACAGTCCAGGGAGAGAGAATATATTTATCATCAGTAAAACCCTTTTTTAAACTTGTAGTGACATCTTCTAAAGGAAATAATTTTAATGAATAATTTTCATATTGGAATTTTTTGTTCATTGGGAAAGGAGACCATTTACAACTAGAAAACATGTGCTACTCATATTTACAGTCAGTTTCAAATTATTTCTCCTTTAAACCATTTGTCAAATATGTTACATGTACTGAACGTTAGCATGAGAAGCACTTTGAATGATATGATATTACGAACTTTTCTTAAGGGCTTACTTTTTGACCATTATACCACAATAGATATTGATATTATGGTTATTATTATGGTAATTTGTATGGTTATCTCTTTAAGATAAAATTCTTCAAATGTTTCTCTTTTGTCTTGGCTACTATCCAAACTTTAATACCTCTTTGAACTGTGGCATGGATCAGACTTGATATTTTAGCCTTTCAGCTTCATTACATTTATGCAAGAATTTTTATTTTTTGAAGCTTTTTGGCTTATCTATTTCATTTAAGGATTACTATAATTTACCACATTCCAGGAATTACAGGATCTTTGTTCTCTTCTAGTTATTATCCTTACACTAGTTCTTATTCATCCAGGTGTTGGATGTTGGTGGCATTCTGATTTGTTCCACACCCTACATAACTATTTCTGGATTCATAAAGACATTTTTACTATTTAATTTCTATCATGCATTTTAAAACACACTTTGTAAATGTTGCATAACTATATTATTATGTAATGGTTTGCTTTTTAAATTTCTCCATCTTGAAAGGGTTTCAACTTGAGCAATTTAGTGAAGATATTTTTTAATTACCTTGTTGTACAAACACAGCTTAGGTTCCTGAGGTCTCTGAACTTACCGAACAGCTGGTTCCCAGGGGTAACAGGGCCACCACACGTGGATGAGCATTTAGCAGTTGCTGCTTTTGCTTCTGAACACAATGTTTCTAATTCATGCTGGCCTGAACATATATTTCAACCAGATTTCACATTTTTTATACTATTCAAGAGTTTAAAATTGTGTTTAAAAACAGATTAGGCATA